TTTTTCAAAATAATTTTTATTCTAAAGACTAAAGATCGATTATAGACCGATTTGACGAAGACGATTTATTTATATCTCTTTCAAAGTTTTATAGTAGACAGAGAGCGCATGAGACAGCTACTGTTTCTTGTTCTTTTTGCTGCTTTGTGCCGTTTAGGGAATATCGTAAGCTGCTGGTCAGCGAAATTCTATGCTACATGTCAGCGGCTGTGTTCCCTGAACGCGCCCATTGACAGCCAAATCAGATTTCTCATGTCAAAAAACCACCCAGACATCAGTTTTCATCCAAATATCAACGTTAGTTCAGAAATTATTTGAAAAAAAAACAAATAAAAGTGAAATTTATACATGCATTTTAGGACATATTTACACGAACTCTTTTACTTATTTTTACCTGCTGATACCACCCTGTTAAAACCATCACTAGAGGTTTGAGTAATATATTATATGGTTAGTTGAGCACAATGAGTAACAACAAATAATGGCCGAAAATTGATAAACATGAAACTTGTTCCAGTTATAGAAACAATTTAAACTTTTCAATGAAAATGAAATGAAAAATATTTCAATGGAAATTCCACACCTGTAATTTTTAACCAATCAAAACGTGTTTTTTTGACAAATCACCATGGCAACGGATAAATTTTAGTGAAAATTTGTTCCTTGTGGGCACCCAACAGCGAATTATACTGGAAACCATAAAATAATAAATACAAGAGGAAGTGTCAAGTCAATGTTAAATTATGGAAACAGCGTGGCTGCCTGGGTAACTAATTTTTAGATATGGCGGCTGGGACATTTGACATGATTTGACATGACATAGACACTTCATTGACATGACAATTTCAATTTTATGAAATTTATTTCCGTTTCCGGTTTTCAATGGCGGGCTGTTCAGGAGGTTTAAATGAGGGCTAATATACTTTTTACTTTTTCTAGTAGTAAATAATACAACAAAATTACTCAAAAATATTTATTTGGAATTTAGAACAATGTAAATATGCAAATCAACACAATTAAAGAGCTATAAACCCATAAACTACTGTATCAATATCAAACTATTTAAATAACATCAGAGATGCTGTGTTAAAGTGAATTAGTAAAGTAACAATGCACTGATTTACAGAAACTTGAAGATAAATAAATGTTTTCACAGCTTCACGGGCGTAAAACTAACTGGAAGCAAGAAAAAGACAACAGGAACCCACGCAAAACCTGGAATCAAAAAAAAATATGTAAAAAAAAACATAAATATAGGTACATAAGACTCTTGTGAATTAAATCAAACAGGACTTGAATGAAAATAAAATGAATAAAAAATGTGATACATATACATCTAATACCTCATTTGTATTTTAAAAATAATCTACATACATAGCATTATTGCTATGAAAATACATAATAGGTACCTATGTGATATGTAATTACGCATTTCTGTTCATCTTGTAGATAATTAATGTAGGCTAATAATAGTTCAATAATCATAATTTACCTTGTGTAACTTGCTTTCAATTGCTCAAAATCACCGATCAGTCTTTAAAGTAGAGATACGGAAAAATCCTTGGTAAAGAATATCCCAAGATCCTTGGATCTAAAGCTAAAAAAATATAAAAACAGTTAATATATTACCTATTTTTACATATATGGCCCATACCTACTACACGCAGAAACGTCGATTTCATCATTTTCTTCATGTAATTAATACCATATATACTTTATTAAAGTGTTAACAAGGAACTTTATATCAAAAAAACATCTTTGTACTTATAAATGTCAGCCGAAATATCATAAACAAACTTCCAACCAAATCTAAAACGGCAAAAATTAAAATGGCGCCCGACCTTGCCAGAAGCCTCGGGAGTTGACACATGGCTGACACACAGACAAAAGAAGTGGACGCCGACGTGCATAAAAATGTTCCGTAACTGAAATTGACAGAAATCATATAGAAATATTCAGATTTTTGTCTAGGACAGTCTAGAAGGCCATGCTTTCTGCCTGGGTAAGACCGCGCCAGAACTGTTTCCAATTATCCGGTTTACTGTCACCCCCCTGCTGGAAACTTCTTGACGTTTATAATGACAGAATATATTTTTGAGAGTCTGGTTTTTATTTGTTTACATGATAATTTTCATACATTTCAATTACAAAGCTGAGATGAAAGTTTGTAAACTGCTTCCATATGCTTGACTTCGATTTCCCAGTATTCGCGGGTGTCAACTGCTTGATCTTCTGGCGAATATTTTCTTTGCTTTGATGACCGAAGCGAAACATTTTTTTAAGCCGTGCCAGGCCGTGCCGCTTGACAGCTTCAAAACTGAAATAGTTTTTAGGTTTGGGTGTCACTTAGTTGTTAGAGTAACTAAATAATTATTTCGACCAAAAATCGAAAACTACATTTTAATTATTTGATTTTCAAACACAATTTGGTGTGGAATTTTCTTACCGAATACCACACGATCGTCAAATTAAATCCGGACATTTTTTCTCGCTCATGAATATTTTTAGAAAATTTTCAAAATATTCATGAGCTCGAAAAAATTTCCGGAAATAATTTGACCTCTAGTGGTATTATTAGTGAAAATATTTTTAAATATCTATATTATGGTGGCCTTATTGTATAGAAAGTTTAATATATAACTTCAAATTCAAATTGAATCAATCTTTTAAAATTGTATTCGAAATCTCCAGATTATGACAAAATGGAATGTGAATGGAATGCGAATTTTTCGATATATACTGGTGTATTGGATAAATGCACTCTACAGATTCGATAACTCTTCATTCTTAAATTCTTTCTGGAATAAAAACGAATTTCTGAAAGTGCTACGATTTACTTCCAGTGATGCAAAGAAACCACAAAAACAAGAAAAATTGAATAATATTATAAGGCTTAATAAGTGTTAAAAAAAAAATAAAAACAATAAATTGTCTAGCAAAAAATATATACAGTGTGATCGATTAAAAAAAACGATGAGAAACTATTTTATATTTTACAAAGTTTTGTATAGAACTGTGAACACCCTGTGTGGTTTAAGATTACGATATTTATAGGACAGTAAAGACAGACCAACTATAGTAAATACCTAGTATAGTTTTGATTTCAGGGCATTTCTTGTATTTTTAATGACTTTTTTAATTACAATAGAATATATCGTGCAATTGTCAAGTTATAATTATTAGATAGTAGGTTAGATACTAGGTTAGGATAGGTTACTAGATACTACTAGATACTAGGTTAGGATAGGTTAGGTTGCTGGGGTTTGGGATCATGTTTGATCCCTCACTCGGAGGCCTTGGGCCCATTGCGATACTCCTGTATTGTTGTATTAAACCTTCCTCTCATTCGTTAAACCACTTCAAGCTCTCCTTGTTCCCGATGGCGCTGATGTTGGCTTTTGCTGGTTCCTCTAGTCCCTCCAAAAAACCTTGCCCTAAAGTTTTAAAGCGTCGGTATTCCAGTGCCGGACAGTGGCCCAGCAGGTGCTCTATGGTTTCTTCTTCCTCTCCGCATTGTTTGCAGTAGTCGTCGTTGGAAACTTTCCATCTCACGAGATTTACCCCCGTGGGCACTTTCCAGTGATGACACCTACAATTATGCGTACTAGGTTCTTTTTGTGCTCTAGTAGTTGTTTTGTCTTTTTGCTATCTACTGGCCATAGTCTTCGAGCTGTAGCGCAGTCCTCACACTCCTCACGGTGTTGCCACGTCTTGCTGCTTGGCCTTGATGGCAGTTCCTATAGCTTCCTTCAGTGTGTTGATCGTCATAAGTGGTGGGTCATCTGCCACGGCCTCTCCCCTGGCCCCGTCATTGGCGAGTCTGTCTGCTTCCTGATTGCCCACCACATTATTGCTGTGGCCTGGCACCCAGCACAGAGTAGCCCCGCCCTGACGCAGCCAGGACAGTGCTTCTCGGCATTCCATCACAGTTTTCGATCTCACTGATTCCATGGTGATGCTTCTTAAAGCGCCCAAGCTGTCAGAGTATATCACTATATCCCCTATTGGTCTATCAGCAATTTTCTCTCGTATACAACTAGCCGCTTCCTTTATGGCGTAAACCTCTTCTTGTAGAACATTACAGCCATCCGATAGCCTTAAATCGTCGGATGTCTAGTTCCTCTGAAAAGCTAAGCATCGTCGGATGTCTAGTTCCTCTGAAAAGATGCCTATATCTGTGTCTCCTGAAGTTGCGGAAGCATCTGTGTAGACTGCCATCTCTTCGCTAACACAGCGCAAGCTGCGCTAGGAGCAATTCTGGACTTGCAATCAATCGACTGGCTCGTGAAGGATCTGGTTGATAAGGGTGCCCTAAGATTAAGGGAATCCAATCTGTGGAACCAAACCACTACGGTCACTCGAGGATATTGCCAGTGATAGGGAAAATCATACATGCACAAGGGGTAAACACGAATCCACATCTGCTAGACCAGAAAACGGACCATGTGCTCACCAAACATAATTTTGGAGAATAGATAAGGATTCGCATCTCGACAAGAGAACAATGGGAAAGCAACCGAGTAATGAACACTCAAGAGAATATTGATACTAACAATTTATAAAAAAAAATGTTAAATAGGTGCTTAAACGGAGTTTTTTCGCTTCCGTTGACGGGAGGATATAGATACTGTATTTATAGTATACATGTTATTAAACCTCGTAACCTAACCACTGAGAAATTATTGGTACCAGTTGGATCAATATCTTTTTTATTTTGTAGTGTATTTCTTCTAGTGGCCAAAAACCAGAAATCTTTCTAAGAAACAAATTTATAGTTACATATTATTTGATTCAAATAATAATTGAATTTTTGACCAACATTTAAGACGCTATTGCGTGCTAAAATTGTATGACTAAGATTGTCTTCCCAGTATTGATACTAATTAGTAATTGGTACGTATTACAATTACAGTGTAGACATATTTATAACATTATAGATAGATAAATAGGAATTAATGTTTTTCAATAATCCGTCTTATCTTATCACGGGATCTGTTAGTAACAAAAACAATAATAAAAGAAATTCTGTTCGTATAGAGTTCATACTTAATTGCAGTGATAAAAATTCGGTAGCGATGTCGGAAAATTCTTTGTGTTTGTGTAAAAAAGAGGGTCCATGTATTCACGAAAAAATAGGTAATATTTTCTAAATCTTTGACTATTATAAGATTCCAATAAGAGGTTTAGGATGTTGATAACGAATAAAATAAAAGTTTCATAACATACATAATGGTTATTTTTTATACAAGACCATAAAATGGTATTTTATCGTCGACCGAAAAAATTAATTCACGAGCGATGAAATCTCCAGTGAATTAATTTCGGGAGACGATAATGCAATTTTATCGTTGTGTATAAAACAATATTTTTTTCCATAGCGAGTTATGTTTTAAAAAATATTCAGAAATTATTGTCGCTTTAGTTGTCAGTTTTGAGTCAATATTTTTTAATTCTCTTTCGTGTCGATTGCTGATTGAATTGGAGCCAGAAATGGCTCAAAACGAAATAAGTAAATTACCAACACATGGTACAAAGAATACAAGGTATGATAGATAGCGGCTCCAATTTCGTTCAGTTCGCGCATACCACTTGTGACGTCACTAGGAAAATAATGAACATAATGAATAAATAAAAAATAAAGAAAGTTGACAGGAGATCTGCATTTTTTGGGGTTATGGTTAAGAATTGTTTATTTTTAAGACTTTTTAGTTCGTTTAATTTAATAATTACTAAAACCAGCAGTTCCAAAAATATATTTAAAAATAATAATTATCTGTTAACATGGATTTGGACGATAGGTAAGAATACTAAATTTATTTCTATATTCGGTATAAAATTGTTTATTAGGTTTTTAGTTTGCGATGTTTATGGTAAATAATTTTCATTTTCATTGCCTCTGAATTCACATGAGGACAGAGTTGAGGATATCTATGGAAAAGTAACCACAAGAGGAATTGTTACATCATTTAAAAAATGTTGGGAAGTTTATTGTTTCCCATCGAAAAGTAGAAAATGCCAATGCAGATGAACGTATTGTAATTGTGATAGAAGTAATTCCAAGGGTGAAGTTTATTATAATTAGTGGAAGTAATACCAAGGGTGCAGTTTATTATAATTAGTGACCTGTGCTTCTTTTTATATGTAGATGTTTCTGGTTTTGAGAATAAATCGGTTGAACGACGCCCAAAATTTAAAGGAAGTATTTGCATACCCAGAATATGCCCATCAAGGGTTATATAGCTCAAATTTCCTTTAATGGTAGGCAATTATTCAATGCAAATTAACTTTTTAAGTGACTGAAATATTAAATAGTTTACAATATGGTATATCACTAAAAATATATTACTTTTAGGTATAATTAGGGCCCGATACATTTCAAAAAGTAGAATATTATTTTATATTAAATGAGGTATTGTACTAACAATCAATTTATATTAATAACGGAGATTAAAAAATAACAGAATAATAGTTCTTTTTTTATAGTACAAAAATAAACTATAGAATACAACAGTATTTAAAAAAATAAATAAAAAGTTATGTCCCGGCCGAGATTCGAACTCCGGTCTCTCGCTTCCTAGCCCGACTCCTTACGCACTGCTCCACAGTAACTTGCTTAGCGATAATTCAATGACGGTATATAAACAAAAAAACAGGTTTATAACAATATCTTGCGATTTGAACTGGCGCGCGGAGCGTGCTGACCAATAGCGCTTGTTATCACCTGTGACGTAGCGACCAACCTGCGCAATATCATACCTTGTATTCTTTGTACCATGTTACCAACAGATATTCAGGCTGAGGCGACAAACGCCATATCCAAACTAGTTCCATTTAAATCCCGAATAACTTATGAAAAGAAATACAAAAATTTTCAAAAATGGAAGCAATTAAAAAACGCGCGAGAAGAAATAAAGTTTTTAACCTATCCTCGCTGTTAAAGTATCATTTAATCTACCTTTGCGGTTAAAGTACTATTTTATCTACTATTTTTGATAGATATAAGGCAATTTTAACAGTTGCTTCAATTAATTCACTCGCGATATCACCGCTCGTGAATTAATCTTTTCGGTCGACAATAAAATACCATTTTATCGTCTTGTATAAAAAATAACTATTATTTTATTCGTAATCAACATCCAAAACCTCTTATTGAAATACCCTTTAGTTTAATTTTTAACTTTGTAAGATAATCTAATTTTAAATTTCAGGTTGGTTCTCAATTCCGCAACCTGAGTTTCCAGCTCCACCTGAGGAAGATTCTGAAGGTGATTATTTTGTTATATTACTTCTAAAAATGTATACGGTGGCTTTTCTCTGTCAGTCTCGCTGAAGCAGTCTGACTGATTCAGTGTTACTGAAAAACGGGAAAGAGCGCTTGTGTTCATGTTTCATTTTGCTGATTTCGTAACAAATCGTTCGAAATAAATGGGGTGCTAGTGAAAATATAAAAAAAATATTTGCACTAATTTAAGACTCTCCCTGTATATGATACATTCTAATGTCTAATAAAAAATAAGTGTTCTTAGAATGCATTCCTCCACCACCTCCTGGTCCAGCTCCGGTGTTGTCAGCTTCGGATATACCTTCAGGTAAACAAATTTATATTGAAACTTACAAATATCAATTATAAAATCATTATAGGTTACAGAACTCCACCTCCACCATACACTGTAGAATTACCTTCTGAAACACCCAAAGGTATAAATTAATTACATAAAACTACAAATAAAAAGAAACATAAAAAAGTTTACAGTGACACACCATAAAATAAAAAAAAATTTTTAGATAAATCGGAAAAAAATCAAATTGATGTCAATGTCAAAACTGTTATTTTTAGGTTATATTCCTCCATATCCAACACACATTCCAGTACCCTGTCGTCCACCAGGTAAGTTAAAAATATTACATTAACATTTATTTTTATTTCTGCGATTAAATTAAACACTAAATCACCACAATACACCAAAACACTTATATTTTTACACTGGACGCGCGTTTCGCTAACCATGTTAGCATCATCAGAAGATTAATTAAAACTAAACTACAATCTACAATTTGAGCGTTTATATACTCGCTCAGTGGGCACCGAGTGGGCGTGGCAAGATCTAGACAACCGAGTCAGAGCCCACGGAGCATAACAGTTAGATTTCCGCCACTAAAGTAATAGGAACAAAAAACTTGAAGGAATTGGACCGTTGTCTCTGTTCATACTATCTTTACATTTATTAATTCTGATGCTTTCAGAATGAATTTAGAAATGAATCAGAATGAAAGCATCAGAATTAATAAATGTAAAGGTAGTATGAACAGCGACAACGGTCCAATTCCTTCCAGTTCCAAGTTCTTTGTTCGTACTACCACAGATCATATAGATTATAAACTTATCGTCAAAAGCATTGTTTTTCGTGGTTCCAACTTTTGGAGTCGCGCACTAGTTAGGTTACTAGTTTGCGCACAAGCACGCACCCACTTATGGCCTCTAAAATTGTGCACAGCGCCTGACCGACCTTGTGACCGGCCCAGTTATTATGCTGTTTAAACGGGAGTTTATTTTTGCGCACAAGAAAATTTGCTCGTTTGCTCATAGTCATAAAAAACAATTTTCGTACCACGAATTAGGGACAAGATTTTTATCTGTATACTTATAGGATACCTAATCTGTGCTACTACTCTAGTGGCGGAAATCTAACTGTTTTGCTCCGTGGGCTCTGACTCGGTTGGCTAGATCTTGCCACGCCCACTCGGTGCCCACTGAGCGAGTATATAAAGGCTCAAATTATAGATTGTAGTTTAGTTTTTAATCATCTGCTCATCATGCTAACATAGTTAGCGAAATGTATATCCAGTGTAAAAGTATAAGTGTTTTGGTGTATTGTGGTGATTTAGTGTTTTATTTTACTGTGTAACACCAAAGGTTCCAACCCGCAACTGTAATATATGATACAGTAAAAGGTAGAAATCAGTTAATGTGAAAAATTACTGGTAAAAGCTCACATTCACTGAATTTGGTTAGGTAACTATGCCAGTAAAAGTTCGACAAACTAATTCGGAACAATCTTTAAGAAGAAAATGCTAGTATTCAAATCCTCGTCGCTCTATAACTACCTTCGCCGAAACTATCTAAAGTCGATCGACACAACGGGATATTCAATTTTAAAATCAAGACATTCAAAGCAGTCACATTCCTATTCCTATTAAAGTTAATGAAAAACTAGAGAATCACGTTTTTATTCGTGATACTCTAGATTGAAAGGTAAACAATCAAAATTTATTCGAGCAATTTCGTGGCGATTGATAGTTAGTAGATTATTAATCATAGTAATCATACAGTTCATACCAAATAAAGTTTTAGTCAAGCGATTAAGCTTGACCGGCACAACGTTTCCCACTTTTACATATTTTCTTTTAATCAAAATATTTTAGGAAACAAAAATAAATTAATTATAAATATATAAACAGTTGGGAACTTCACATTAGTTTCAAAATGCCAATAGAATATTTATTAGGTATAATAAATTATTTCATTTTTATTTTTTCAAAGAATCCAATATATTTCAGGATATCCTTCACCACCAGTACATTATCCAACTTTCAATTATCCACCAGGTATGTTTGTAATTATAACACTAAAATTGGCATGTCGAACATATGTATATAAATTTAGAAGTGAACACAGAGTGGTCAAAATTTGTCTGTTTTATAAATAATTAGGCAAATAAGTCAACACAAAATCAAAACTTTCTTCGATATATAAAGTTAAAACACCTAATATTTTTATCATTTTTAGAAATAGATACCCATGACATTATATTATTGTTGGAAAGGGTTCATTGCCAACTATGATATTAATTTAAAAATATATTTATTTTTTTACTTCTGACAAAAAGAGCAAGTATAGAAAAAATGCTTTAAGAACATTTTTACAGAATTTTATTATTCCGCGAAATAAAAAAGTTATCGGAAATTTTCAAAATGGTCGAAAATTCAAAAATACCCCTTATCTCAGTTGGCAGTGAAAATATCGACAGGTGGTTTATGCCATTAAACATGTCTTAGAAATCGAGCCCATGTTGGTTTTGTCAAAACAGACCAATTTCGACCACCCTTTATTATTATATTAAATATTGAATTTAGCTTGGGGCGTCCCCACCCTATCACTCGTATAGGCAACATAGCCAAAGTTTTGTAGAATAATAAAAGTGAATTTGAATTTTTTTAGCGATTTAGCCATTTTTGGGTAGAGTAGATATCAGCACAGATTAGGTATCCTATAAGTATACAGATAAAAATCTTGTCCCTAATTCGTGGTACGAAAATTGTTTTTTATGACGATGTGCAAACGAGTCAAATTTCCTGTGCGCAAAAATAAACTCGCGTAAAATAATAATAAACAGCGTAATAGAGAGATATCGCTAAACCGAATAGCGTGCATGGACATTAATCAGGCCAGGTGTTATTTCCTTTACGTAAGGTATTAACTCCCTTCATTTATAGTTATCGGATCGGAAAGAATTCTGTTCGCGTCGCGTCCGCTATTTAAACTTAACCTAACTTTGAATTTAAAACTTTGAAATTGTTTTGTTTACTGGGTATTTTAAAACTAAAGGGCTAAAGTGCTTATTTCCAGTGCTTTATTGTTCAACGTCTGCCAATGGGTTTAGGGCAACAAGCAACAAATTCTCTTAGAAGGGTTAAGTCGTCATCTGCTGTAAACCTAAGACTCTTTATAGGTTCTTTATTATTGGAAGAGGTGGAATCCATATTTTGGGCCATATTTATTTAATTAAAACTAATCTCAGCTACTTAAATATCAAATTACCTAATAAAACTAAAGTAATAATTTAAAACAATTCATACATAACCTAAAATAAACGATCTCGCCGGCCGGCTCCGGTTGTCAAATACCCGCACATGCCCATTTAAGCAATTTTTAAACGTTATCAGAGGTTATTTAGAAACAAGCACGGTCAAAGACGTAGACGTAAACGTATCGTTTGACATGTACGCTTGCGCAGTGAGAAATTCACTTGCGTTTACGGATATCTGATACGTATTTTTATGTGCCTTTACATACGTACAAAATGCAAACGTATCCAGCCGAAGGAGTTTCGATTTTCACCCGAATGATGCCGAACGTACAAATTCAGAAACAACTCGTTTCCACAACTGGCTAGTAATTAAGTTATTTCATAAATTTTGGGGCCAGTGTCACAGAACTGGGCCTATTTTATTACAATAAATTAGTATGAAAATATTAAGCATCATAATAAACTCATTTTGGAATCTATTTAATTAAACGATAGTTCTTATAGCCAAAATGCCATTATTGGCATTTAGCATATATTGTTATCTTATAGCCAGAATGCCATTATGCAATTATAGCCATGATGAGGATTCTAAAAGATGGAATCTAATAAATAATCATAAAGCTGTGTCTGTTTTCCAATATATTTTTTTATTACGAAGAGCATTAAAGTAAGGACTACTTTCTGTAATAAAATAATTTCCATTTATAATTTTCTTCATTTTTCGATATTACTTTTATAAATTTAATGTGGAATCAATGGAATAATAGATATCCATTTTCAATTTTAAAATTAAATAAATTGTTTCACAAAATAATTTAGGATTACAAATGTACCATTTGCGTTACGTACGTCAAATACTTGCTTTAACTCTTGTTTACACGACAACGCAAGGGCAGACGTAACGTAGGTTTCTGCGTTACGTGTCGAGAGATACGTATACGTATTGTGCCTTGCTTTAACTGTCTAGTTAAATTTTGGTACTAGGTTTCTATTTTTTTTTGTCCCACCGTAAGTCAATATACCTATCTATGCTCATGATATTTAGGATTTTTAAAGTTGCTTTAAATTACTATAAATTAGATATTACAATATTAAGATAGCTGCAGCTAAACTGTAGCTAATTTAACTTTTTTTCCATTACATTTTTAAATAGTTATTTCCAAAAAATATTAATTTAACTTTATATATTTCAGGGAACTGGCCACCACCTCCACGATACTATCCAAATTCGCAATATTTTCCAAGTAATAGTTTTTTACGTCTTATAGAGGGTCCGACAACAGTACGTCAGCCATCTGTAGCTCTTATAATAAAAACTTAAGAATTGTGGTTTTAGTAACCTAAAGTATTATCAAGATGCATTTCAGGAAAATATTTTAACTTCTACAGGATGACTCAAAAAGGTGTTAGTGGATGAGGCTGATTTTTTTTAACGAAACAACCTGTATATACTTGCATTTTTGGCTCCCTTTCTGATCACTTTACATAATACCAAGTATTATTAAATATGTTTTCATAGTTTCAAAAAAGTCCTATAGGTATTTCACCACTTGCACAGATACAATATAGAGGACATACTATTGCCAGACCCAATATTATTTACATTATGTTTTAAAAAACTATAAAGTATTTTTTATAATTGACATAATAATAGACATGGTTATACATGGCACATTTTTAATATTTTAGGCTATATTCCACCGCCACCACCGCCTCCACCACTGCCATCGTACTATCAACCACGAAAGATTCCAAGAGGTAATTTAATTTGAAATATATCACCAATTAAAATGCGTACCTAACACCTACTATAAGAAACAGATTATCTACCATTTATACCGGAGTCTCAAAAGTTCACCCCTATATCTTCTTTATTTTTTCAGAAAAAAAATATTTTGTATGTGAGTATATGACATAAATTAGGATTGATTGACGTATTCAATTGTTTTTGGTTACTTCCTGTTTCAACGGAAATGACTACAACTCTTGATTTTTAAACGGCACCCTTGGTATAGCTCAATATTATTCGATAGAAAATGACACTCTGAATAGAATGGCATATCATATGTCAACTTTTGACATTTCGGCATATGGTTTATTTGAAATTGTAACATGCGGTTCATAACGACAATTTGACTCGAAATACCAAGTGTATGACACCAAATTATTCGTAAAAAATGCTTTTTCTAAATATGCCAATGAGCCACCCTGGTTCCATTTGATAAAATTGAGATATGATCAAAAATACGACCTAGGCATCTTTTAACCGGCCAGGACAAGACACGAAAAACATTAGGCGATCAAAACCATTTTTTCAAGGCTCCTTGATTGAAAATTAGTGTTTTTAACACAGTCATGGCGCTCTAGATTGAACTTTAAAGTATGATTTTTTAAGAAAAAATATCAAAAGTTGACATATGATATGTCATTCTATTCAGAATGTAATTTTCTATCGAATAAAGTAGAAATATACCGAGGGTACCATTTAAAAATCAAAAGTTGTAGTAATTTCCGGTGAAACAGGAAGTGACCAAAAACAACTGAATACGTCAATCAATCCTAATTTATATCATATACTAACATACCAATTCCATTTTTTTTTTGAAAAAAATAAGGGGTGAGCGATTTTCGAGACGCACCCGGTATAGTAGTTTTAGATTTATTCTTCTATAGTAAAAATATTTTTCTTGGATTCTAATACAGTAGTTTCTTACAAAAAAAATATTATAATTTTTATATTTTCACACATTGTATAGGGTATCCCATTTTCGCGTATTTTACAAGGTTTCTCGTTTACGAGTAGATTATACAAAGATGCGGTTTTCACATCACTGTACTACTTTTTTATAAAACTAAAGGTGCTACATACAGATTTTTCGACATCCCTTTTCGACATCGATAAAAAGAGGAAAACTGAATTCCGTACAGCTTTTCACGTAAAATCCAGTGGCTAGTTTTTCGCCGATGATTAATATGATTCAAACTTATGTTTTATTTTAAATGGCACACCCTATAAATATATTATTTTTTATTTTATTTGTCTTTTATGAGAGTTCTAAAAATATCTCTTGCTCTATACCTACTTATATTATGTATAAATAAGGTAAAAATGCATTATTTAACTTTTTAACTTAAATCAACCTAGTTTAAAAGAGTTTTATAATTTTAGTTAATTTAACCAGATAATTTTGTTTTCCATCGTGTTTTCTTAAGAAACTACACCGAAAATGAACTCGTGCAGCTTTTAGCTAACACCCTAACAATCAGAATTATCGCTATTTTTGATACACTTGTGCAATAATTTTACACACAGAAACTAGCGTGGAATAGTCAATAACCAAAATTTGACTTCGAATAAATTATTCTATTCTTTTAATTACCCAATTTAAACCGGCCGCCTATGTTAAAAAAGCAAATAATGGATTTTTTTAACATTATTTATAAAAATAAGTATAGATTATAGTATATTTTTCGAAAGCTCGTGTCGAAAAATACAAAATTTTCAAATTTGCCCTGTATTACACGAACCAATAGGGCTAGGACAAATAAAACACACGAAAACGGGACACCTTGTACAGAATATTTCCATCAATTGTTATTGTTAAAATATTTTTTAGAGTGGCTCCGTCATACCCCAAATTATACAACGGACTATTTATACAGAGGTGGATCGCCATGCTACCACAAATCACCTGGCATGCACTATCAACGTTATTATTAATTACAATAAATTGTAAAACTATTTAAAAAAAATTAAACTGATCTGCAAACATTAGTATATAAAACATTTTAATTTTAATATCTTTAACAATAATTAGGACTGTCAAATAGGTCTGTGTGGAGCTTTTTTAATTATAAGGTTTTTATTGTATTGTAGTAGATTTGTATAATTTTTTTATTATAAACACCAATTAATTCTCCAAATTAAGTTGTATTGTCTTTTGCTCTATTGTTATAGCATTTGTTTGAAATAAATCTGTATTTAGCTTTTATTTTTTAAGCTGGTAGTTTAGATGCCTTACATCAAGAAAGCTCTCGATGAGGCTTAGTTTCTACTGGTCTACAGATGTTTCCCGGATCGTCTTTAGAATATTTTCTCGAATCTGAAGAAAAATAAAAATAGTCCATAGTAATATAAGAGTAAAAGTAGGTAGTAGAGATTTGTCACTCTTGAAAAAGTTACTGTGTTAGCGAAACATGTCGAAAAAACTGTAAAAATTAGTCCAAACAAAAATACAGTCCAAACTGTAAAAATTATTGTACATTGAAGTTTGACCATAGTATAAGGAAACTAGTAGCTTTACTCCTTGTCAAATACTTTGCTCTTTTTCTGCCACTTTATATGACGTTGTTCTCGCGTCCCGTGACCACTGACGTAGCTGTATAGTCGTGGTCTATAACTAGGCAAAGTATAGTCGTGGCACTCGCCATAGATTCACAGAAATGTATTCAGGAATAAATGAGTTCACAATAAAAAAAAATAAAAAAAATGATACTCGAGTAAAAATTTTCTTGAAAATAGAATATTTTCACATTTCGTGTAAGTAACAATTCTTCTATATCTGAAAATCTTCTAATGGGAAGAAATGCCGAAAAATATATATTGACATATTTTTATATTATTATCTATTACAAAGATTTTCTAAAACTTTTTTTAAATTTAAAACATGTTTAATTTTAGCATTAATGTGTTTGTTTTGTAGTAATATATTGGTTAAATGATTTTCATTGGATATCTAATACACTGAACAACACATTGTACTAAATAATAAAATAACATATTTAAACTTCAATAATTGCTAATAAACATTTCAGAAATTTCAAAGGAGAAAAAAAGCAAGAACAATGAGAAATAGCATCACTACTTTCTCACGTAATAAAAGAATAATTTTTTAGTTATTCTTACCGAGTCCCGAAGGTACCGAAAGAACCGGAAATTAATAATTTCGAGTCCCCGTTCTTTGATATCTCAAAAGAACCGGGAATTTCCGGTTCTGAACCCTAGTTACCATATTATCAAGAAATTATGTTTTGTTTTTAACTAAAAACTAAAAAAAATCCAGATTTAAAAAAAAATACGCAGAAAAATCCTCATATTTCTGGGGCCAAAATATACTACCGCTAAAAATATTTGCACATATTTAAGACTCACCCTGTATAGGGCGATTGACGGTTATGGTACGTTATAGCATTTGCGGAACCGGAGCTGTTGTCCGGAACTGGTAATTTCGGTACCATGCCTTTAAGGAACCGGGATTTCCAGTTTTTTCTGTACATTCAGTATTAGCAAATTTTTATTCCATGATGGTACAGTTCGTTAAACAGCTAACAAGGGATGGTTGTCAAAAGTAAAATCAATAAAAAAATTGAAGTTTAAATGAAAATAATATCGAATTAATAAGTAGTAATCAGTCATGAGAAAATTAACCTGTACACAAATGACACTGACTGTCTTGAATTATTACTGCTGGTTGCTGGTTGCTGGCACTCATTTTTTGTCAATCCGTCTCTCTGCTGGGACGCAACGCTCGAACCTCGCAGATCGACGGACGGAACTCAACTGAAACCACAAAACACATACACAAGAAGAAGCGCCTTGCTAAATATTGGAAAGTGAAATTGACGTTTAAATTTGACACTGTTGACAAGTCTACTGCTACTAGCGCCCCCAATATCGCTTGTAGGAACTACGGACTAGATTGTCACGTATGGCGGGAAGTTTAAAAAAATAAAACATTTCAATTCTTTATTTATTTTTAATTATGACATACATAAAAACACAAAAAATACACCATTTTTTAAAAATATGTTTAATATCAATATCAAATATACAACAGAAATTAATTTCACAACAATAAATTAATAAAATTAAAAGAATAATGTTACAAGTACAGATCAAGAGACAAAATTAATTATAACAAAACTGAAAAAAATGGCGTCATAGATGGCTTAGAAATGAAGATATATATCCTAATTTTGAAAGTAAAATTATATGGGAAATGTCATCGATCATCATTTTTAGGCCAATTGGACGATTATTTCAAACATACAAGCTGAGTTGGTTCATAGTGCTCTGAGAAATATAGATAAACAAAGAATAATAAATTAAAAGTATTCCAGGGGAAAAGAGAGGAAAAACCTGTATCGTCTCTGATATCTGTCAGGGTATTGCTGAAAGTGTCATCTTTTTGCTCGAAGTTTTCAGGTCGATCAAAAAGATGACATTTACAACAATACTTTGCCGTAACTTTCACAAATATCAGAGAGGGTACAGGTATTTCCTCTCTTTTCCTCTGGAATGCTTTATATCTGTTGTTCATTGTTTATCTATATTTCTCAGATCATAATGCCGAACACGAGTACAGTATATAATTTCAATATCCTAAGTGGAAAGAAAAAATATCACCTTTCTGTTTTGGACTATGGTCCCTTTCTTCCTATGGCTCATCTCGTTGACATTTAGGAAGGTATCCATAAAATATATATTTTACTATCGGTCCTGGGATAAAAAAATATAAAACTCAATTTGATTTGGTGATCCTTTTCTGTCACTTAAATCAGGAGAATGACAATGAGCATGTTAAGATGAAAAAAAATTATTTATCAACACTTACCTGTACTACACGTTAGTCCGAGGAGTTTTATCAAAAACCTATATTTGCCTAAATGATTTATGTATTAAATTTGCAAAGCAAACTGCAGCGTGTAAACAAAAGAAATAAAATGGCGACAAGTCAACGTCAACGACCCGACAAGGAGAAAAGTGGTGTTCGAATAACAAATTATGGGTCACCAAAAATTGTTTTTGTCTTCTTTCAACGCACACTTTAGAAAGAAAAAGAGATGAACTGTAATACTGAAAGAACGTCAAGGTTTTATCTGTCACTCTTATCAATAATTTATCGGTAAGGAAGATTCCTAGAAAATCGCTTGTAGTCAAGTTTTGAACCATTGCCAGGTCTCCCATAAGAAGTGTCATTCACCTGACTGAAACGCTCTACAATCTGCCGATATTCGACAGATTGTAAAAACTGGCAGAAAATATTTGGGAGAGTGCAACTACTCTTTTCCTTCTACTATGGTTTGACGACGAATATATTTTAAACGGTTAATTTAATCGACAAATAAGACATCATAGGGTAGTGAATTTCTTACAAAACCATGATTTGCGCCGATCATAAAAAAATAATCAAACTTCAACCTTTAATAACTTTCGAACAGTGAGGTTTACACGTGACCGTAAAATCAGATTTTGAGCAGCACTCTTACATCCTTTTTTTATATGTATATTGTGTAAGAGTCTTGTTTTCCGTTAAAAAAAATTGTTTATATTAAACTGTGTTATTTTAAGAAATAATATTTTATTTGAATCTCTAATTGACTTTTCTTGGCCGCATTACAATGGAAATTATAAATTGTCGTTTCCTAGACGATGCGGTTTGCATTGTTGATGATTATTTTGACTGACGTCGACATTTATAAAAAAAATATTAAATTCAGATTATAATTGTGTGGAAAATATTTTTGAGACTGAATAGAAGGAATGAAGTATTATACAGGTGAGTGTATTTTGTTCACTCACGGGCATTACTGGGATTTGTATAAGAGTAGTTTAATATTATTTAGTTAACAGTTGTTGAGCTTTATTAGTAGATAGAGAAGGGTATTTTAGTATTACTTTTGTGTGTGTGTGTTTTATATTAGACAAATATTTATCAAAGGGCATTTTAATATAGTTTAGTTGAAAGATAGATGTTTATCAAAGAGTGTTTTAGTGTTATTTATTATAGATACGTAATGGACAGCTATTTATCAAAGAGTATTTTAGTAATATTTATTGGGTGTGATTTATAATACCTGGCAAATTATCAAATGGTGTTTAGTATTATTATTTTGGAGTGTTTTATATTTTTACGTATGACCCAAAGTGTTTAACAACAATATTAAGCTATGTCGCTTTGTGGCCATCCCTTTTGTGCGTGGGAAAGACGCCTTGTCGCTTAGCTGCGGAACAACAATATTAAGCTATGTCGCTTTGTGGCCATCCCTTTTGTGCGTGGGAAAGACGCCTTGTCGCTTAGCTGCGGAACAACAATATTATGCTATGTCGCTTTGTGGCCATCCCTTTTGTGCGTGGGAAAGACGCCTTGTCGCTTAGCTGCGGAATAACAATAATAAGCTATGTCGCTTTGTGGCCATCCCTTTTGTGCGTGGGAAAGACGCCTTGTCGTTTAGCTGCGGAACAACAATATTAAGCTATGTCGCTTTGTGGCCATCCCTTTTGTGCGTGGGAGAGACGTCTTGTCGCTTATCTAGGAAACAACAAAAATATTTAACTATTTTATATACTCGATTATGGTGATGTGATCATGTGCGTTTTCCAGTGATGCTCAAGTATATTTTATTTTTATAGATTGCAAATTGCGTGATCATAGAGTGAGAGCATTACACAAGTGTCCCGGCATCTAAGGTGAGTTTAGCTTCTTTTGTTTATGTTGTTTGAATATTAAATTGATATTAACACCATTCATATATTATGCTATATAAACAAAAAAAATTATATTATATTTTTCTTACTCGCTCTTACAATTGTCATCTAATTCCAATTTGGTTGTAACCCCGAAATTCAATATCTGTTCTTATTTAATATATCTACTAAAACTAGAAATAGCTCTCTGACTTTGATTATTATTACCAACTCTCTGTAATATATCGAAGAAAAAAATCCGTCCAACAATATTGG